CAGGTTAACCCGAACATGCGAGGCTGGCAGGGTGGCTTGGGGAGGGATTGTAGCACTGGTAAGCCTCTATCAGGGATTTTTCTCTCTATTCCATGGAAGATATTTTATATATCAATTCTTTTTTTTTTTTAGGTCTTTGTGATAGGGCGTATGAGCTTGCTGGAGAATGACAGAGGGAGAGGGAAAGAAACAAATCACCCCCCAGGGGGATGGCTATACTACAATTTCTTCACCTCCATCCTCCTCTCAAGATTTTGGGCACGCATGCATATGAGCCAGGTGTGATTTTCAAGCTTCCAGGTCTGGGACTTGAATAGCAGTTGGTCATGTGGGAGTTCAGCGCCTTCACCATCACACCACCTGCTGGCCCCAAAATGAAATATTTAAATCAGGAAACTAACACTGATGCATTATTGTCATCTAAACTTCAGACCCACTCAGACATCTCCAGTTGTCCCAGTCGTTTAATAGTAAAAAGATCCAGCATGTCATGAGCGTGTGTTGCAGTGAGTTGTCATATAGCTTTTGTTTTAAAGCTTATTTCACGTATTTGTTCCACAAGCAGGAGAGAGAGACGGACAAATAGCACTTCCAACATAATCCCGATACAGTAGTTCATCCCCAGCCTTAGCCAGCTCTGGATTGTGGGCACGCATGTGCCCAGCGTGTTCGGAGAGGTCTCTGGAGACAGACCTGTAGCCTTCTTGTGTGGGTTAGCCTCACGGAGTGTCACATTTGACCACTGCACTATCATCTTGCCTCTGAGTTATCACACCTCTTCAGTCTCCTGAACCTAACATTGTGAGACATTATGTCTCTGACAAATGCTCTCTGTCCTCCAGGTGTTTACCTGAGTTCCAAACAGAAGGCCAAGGACAATCTGTCCTGAAGATGGGCCTAACTTTCCCTGAGCAGGATTAGGAACAAGGAAACATCTTCATTACAAGATAAGAATCAAGAAGGCATGATAAGAGGCAGCTTTTCTTCTTAATAAAATATGTACTTAACACCCTCCTGATAATCATATTAACATCAACCCCTCTGCCCAGCACCCTCATTGGAAGCCAAGCCAGAAGTGGAAGTAACTTTTGTTTGGAAAGACAGAAAAAAAAAAAACCAGAGTGGAACCTATTCCAAGTGTTAGGTGGTCCTTGGATGTAGACAGAAGGAAGGGATGCAGGTGGCCTCTGGAATTCCTCAATGGGAAGCCAACAACTGATGGTAGAATGAATGCAGAACTTAGTCTCTCCCCTCTCCTGTCCTCTCCCTACTGCCTCTCCAGGGCTCTTCCTTTCCCTTTCCCTTTCCCTTTCCCTTTCCCTTTCCCTTTCCCTTTCCCTTTCCCTTCCAGGGTCTTCAATTGAATTGAGAAGAGAAGGGAAGTGAGCTGTTCTGTAGATAAGAGCTTATCTAGAAGTCGGGGACATTGCACCCTCACCTGGTGGGATTGCACTTCGAATATGGAGAAGGATCTATCAGACTACACCTCCAAACTTCTGTCTTTGACCTTGTGCGATCTAAGAGTGTCAGCAGCCAACTGGGAGGATCTACCTCACAGGTGCAGAATCTGAAGAGAAAGATCAGCCTATCTGAAGCAGGAGGTAGAGATGTTATCCTTTTAAGACATACCAGATTCTACAATAATGTAAGTCTGAAGTTTCTGGAAGGGTAGAGGCAAGAAAGAGTCAACTACCCACATATTTTTTCTTTATTAAATGATAGAGCTCAAGAGTGAGAGAGAGAGAGGGAGGAGGAGGAACATCCCCCACAGGGCCTGGTCATATCATCATCTCCTTCCTTCTGCCCATTAGCTCATTGGATCTTGGGTACTCACGTGCATGCCTGGCGTGTTTCAACTGACTGGGCCGGATTTGAACCCTGGTCAACATGTGAGATTCAACTTCCCTTGGGAAGCACATTACTGCTGTGCCCTGCAGCCAGCCCGTCTGCCTGCTTCGAATTTTCTTGATACCGAGGACCAACTTCTCTCACAATGGCATCCATTAAGTCAGGCTAATCCAGAACAGGGCTGTGGGCCTGGCGAGAGTCCGAGTGTCTATGTATCTGTGTGCATGTGCCTGCCAGGCCCAAACATAGATCTAAGTTACCTTTCAATTCTTCATTAATTTTTTTAAGAGGTTTTTACTATAGGGCACGTGTGCTCGCCAGATAGACAGAGAGAGACAGAGAGACAGAAAGCAAAAAATCACCCCCCAGGGGGGATGGCCATGCCGCAATCCCTTCTCCTCCATTCTCCTCTCGGGATCTTGGGCATGCACGCACACACACCCAGCGTGAGTTTAAGCCACCGGGTCTGGGATGTGAACCACGGTCAACTACATGGGAGTCCAGTGACATAGCCATTACGCTAACTGCTGTTCTCTCCATTAATTTTTGTGAAGGTGTTAGTGCCTTTCCCCTGCATGAGAAACTTCTACGGACCAGGCATATCCTAGCCATGGCCCTGAAACTAAATCAGCCAACAGGAAAATGTCCGAACAAACACAAGCAATGCTTCTTGGATGCCATTTGTGGTCACATGATGTGGTATCTGGGCTTTGACACTTCTTGCCAGCTCTAGGGACTGTGCCTCTTCTGTCCTGGCAACTCTATCTGTCCATCTTCTCCACCCTGGCAGGCCCATGAGACCAGCTGCTCTGGAGAGGGAAGGAGGTGTGGTTTGAAGGGACCTGATTCCTACAAGCTCTGCCAGTTTAACTGTTGAATGACAACAGAACCATCTCTGAGCCCTGAGAGCAGAGGAACTTCTGTTTTGGAGGCCCCTCCTGCTTCACCAGCTCCTCAGGGACCTAGGTCAGCACTGAGATGGAGCTGGGACCCAGGGGATTGATGAAGGATACAGCGACACCTGGGCTCCTACATGCCCTTCCTGGCTTTGTCTGCTCTGTGACCCCAAGGTCAGGGGCTCTCAAACTCATTTCCTGGGCCTGCCCACTACCTCTTCTCTTGCCAGTACCCTCTTCCTGGTTCTTCCCAGGCTGCTCGTGCCCACCTCATCCTCTTCCTGCCCATCTCTCTTTCCCACGAGCGTCTCTTTCATCCCACTCTGCCCCTTGCCATCATTTAGCACCATCTCCTGACCAAAGGTCCTACAAACAGGAGAGTGGGAGGTCCTTTGCAGGACCTCTCCAGGGTCTGCATCAAAGGAGCCCTTGCATCACAGTGCCCGCCCACACCACCCTCACTCTCCTCCGCGCCTCTGAGTGTACTGTTCCCTCTGCTAGGAAACCCTTCCTCCCCTCTTTGCTGGGCTAATTCTTTCAATCAGCTCGGTCACAACCAAAGCCATCCCTGATCCCTCGCAGACCCTCTCCCTGGAGGTTCGTTGTTCCTCCAAGTTCTCGTTGCACCCTGTATTAAACGCGAACATAGCCCTTCCTGAATGACATCCAGACGACTGGTAGGTGTGTTTGTTTCCTAACTGGCCATGAGCAGCCCAAGGACAGGGCAGGCCCCGAGGGCAAGGACCCTGTCTTGGTCACCCTTGGATCTGCAGTGTGTGCAGTGGTGCCAGGCACACGGTGGGTACTTGGCAGGTACTATTTGCTGAACTCCACTGAACCCTGATGGAAAGAACTCTGGCATACTAGTCTGCTGGCGCTGCCGTAACAGAACACCACAGACCGGGTGGCTTCACATCCAAGGTTTATTCTCAGGCCCACAGGCCAGAGGTCCACAGAGGTCCACGATCACAGTGCTGCTGCTCTCTCCTTGGTTTGTGATGGCTGCCCTTGTGCTGTGTCCTCTTGTGGCCTTTTTCTTTGTGCTCACTCGAGCAGAGAGATCTGATATCTCTTCCTCTTCTTTTTTTTCTTTTTTTCATTTTTTGGAGAGGTTTTTGCTATAGGGCGCATGCACTCGCCAGAGAGACAGAGAGACAGAGACAGAAAGCGAGAAATCACCCCCGAGGGGATGGCCACACCGCAATCCCTTCTCCTCCATTCTCCTCTTGGGATCTTGGGCATTCATGCATACGCGCCCGGTGTGAGTTTAAGCTGTCAGGTCCAGGACTTGAACCGCCATCAACTACATGAGAGTCCAGCAACATACCCATTACACCAACTGCTGGTCCCTCTCTTACTCTTCTTTTTTTTTTTTTTTTTTTTTTTTA